CCACGAGTTGTTAACCCATTGTTGTAAGACTGCTCCGATTGCTGAGTCGGATGCGTCTACGGCGATACTAATGGGCGCTTGACTGTCCTGATGAGCAAGCAAGGTTGCTTTAGCGATGTGTTCCTTAACTGCGGAAAATGCTTTACGGGCTGTGTCGTCTAAACTAATTGATTTCGCATTTCCACGAAGCTGATCGGTCAACGGTTTCATTAGGGATGCGCATTTAGGTATGAACCGTCTATAGAAACTTACGAGTCCGTTAAAAGTTCGTAACTGCTTGATCGTGGTCGGTTCTGGGTAATCCAGAATGGCCGCCACTTTGCTCCTAAGGGGTCGGATGCCTTGGGCATCAATGGTGTGTCCTAAGAAGTCTAAGCAGTTAGTTCCGATTTGGCATTTCTGAATGTTGACAGTAATGCCATGCCGTTGGAGTCGATCGAAAACAATGTCCAGATGCTTGAGATGCGATTCTCTGTCCGGACTTGCTATTAGACAGTCATCAACATACGCATGTACGAAGTTGAGACCTCGGAAGACGTCGTCTATAAACCTTTGGAAGGTTTGAGCCGCGTTTCTTAAACCAAAAGGCATTCGTAGAAATTCGTAAAGACCGAAGGGAGTGATGATGGCGGTTTTAGGAATGTCGTCAGGTGCTATCGGGATTTGGTTATAAGCTTTAACCAAGTCGATTTTCGAAAAGACAGTTGTACCCTTCAAGGTAGCTGTCAAATCGTGAATATGAGGCAGCGGGTAACGATCGGGAATGGTTTTAGCATTCAGACGCCGATAATCACCAGTTGGCCGCCAATCATTGCTGTCCTTTTTAGGGACCATGTGCAATGGGGATGCCCATGGACTATTCGATGGTCGAATTATTCCTAGGTCCATCATGTGGTTGAATTCGTTTTTAGCTAACCTAAGTTTTTCGGGAGCGAGTCTTCGGGCTTTCGAAAATACAGGTGGTCCTGTAGTCGAGATGTGATGTGTAACATTGCTGGTTACACAAGGTAATTTCGATTGCGATTGGTATATCCCGGAGTATTTGTCGAGTACTGCTTGGTACAAGGGGTCTATGGCGTGCTTAATCGTGACTGGGGATAACCTGCAACCAGAACAAGGAGTTACGCAAACGGACAACTTAGTGTTTCCGTCTATTAACCTTCGTGAGCGTGTGTCGATGAGTAGATTGTGGTGTTGTAACAGGTCAATACCAATGATTGGCATAGAGACATCTGCAACCACGAAAATCCAGTGTATGGGTTTACGTAAACCCACGTTAAGGTAGACGTACCTTTTACCGTAAGTAGCGATCGGCTTTCCGTTTGCCGCCTGTAAACTTAAAACAGACTCGCGAAGTCTGTCGTCGAGATTTGCTGGAAGAACGCTAACTTCTGCGCCAGTGTCGACGAGGTAGCGAACTTTCGTAGTCACATCCGTGACATATAAGAGGCGGCTGTGTTCGCCGGCTACGGTTGCCGTTAACGCGTGCCGGCTGGGAAGTTTCCCGAACTGTTTTTCGTGTCACTCGATTTTGGGGTCGGATAATTGCAAGGTTTCCTGCAGTTTCTGGAAAACTTACCGTACTGGTTATGATACCAGCACCAGTCGGGATTGTCTGTCTCTCGTGGTCGAGAGCCAGATCGCTTACGTGAGGCACTTCTACGCGGGGTTTTTGACCGACTACGGTCATTGCGAACTCTAAGATATCGTGTAAGCGTGTGACATAGTTCGGCCATGTCAGTCGAGGTCGATTGGGGTTTTTCTTTGACGGAAAAAACCTCGGCCTTAGAAGATCTAGTGATTTCCAAGATTCGATCGGCAGATGCAGCTAGTTCATCTATGGCATTGTTTTGAAATGAAACAAGCACTGCCTGCACCTGTTGAGGGAGTTTAGACAAGAAAAGTTGTCTAAATAGGTCATCATCGAAAGTTCGTTGGCCGATGACTTCTCTCATTCTAAGCAACATGTCCGTCGCAGAACCATGTTGCAAGTCGATATTGTTAAGGAGTTGGTCTAACCGTTGTCGATCAGTTAGGTCTCCTCGTTTTAAAATCGATAGCTTAAGCGATTCGTAAGGTTCGGAAACATCACTAGTAAACATACTAGGTGTTACGTACCTGTTAAACTCGCGCGGTAACGCCTTAACTACCGCGAGGAAACGTGTGCGCGAGTCCGTGATTCCGTGCATGCAAAAATCGGCTTCTGCATAGCAGAACCAGGACTCGATATTGTCGGGCCAAAATGGCGTTAACTGAATCGAAATAGGGGGAATAGACTTGAACTTAAGAACCTTAGGAGAGTGTTCCGTCATAGTAATATAGATATCGAAAAATGTCTAAGTAAAATATATCCGAGAAAAAAAATTCGCGAAAAAAGTATATCACAATATATAAAATTCAAATAAAGAATAACAATGAATAATAATGTTCCAAAATGGAACAGACTCACAGTATATTGACTTGGTGTACCAGATCACGTCGGGCTCACCAATGAAGATGCAACGGATATTCTAGTTTTACAACTAGATACCAGTAGCACCTTCTAAATTCGGTTGTTTCCAGTCAGATAGAAAATCAGAAGTCAAACGAGAAGAGGCAGGAAAGATATACTTGATTCGTTACCAATATATCGAGGACCTTTTCTATGAGCTGGCTAATGAAACGTAGGAGCTGTGTCCCACGCAGTATTGAAACGTGATCTGGTGCGGATGCATGACCGAAAGCCTTCAGCTAAACAAGTCCACTTAAACAACGTGGTCAGCACCCAATGTCGAACACTTAATGAGCTATTGATTTTGGGGAATTATTTACAGCTACAGGACTCTATACTTGTTTCACCAAAGTAGTAGTTAATGAGGATGTTTCCCAAAATGCATGATGCTCCAGAAAAGGGTTTACTGGGGTCACTTTGAATCTTGGATATAATTTCTCTTGAAGCTCTAGTAATAAATGTGTATTCTGTTTTGAGACCACTAGCTTATAGTTATGGTCTCTCATATTTTATAATTTCATATTTATAGTTTATATACATGGGCAACAAGAGTGAACGAAGCTCATTTGCCCACACAACTTAACTGGTCATTGCTCATGGTGATGAAAGTCTCTGTACTTAACCACCTGTCTGCTATCCGTTCAAAATGAAGGAAATCACGAATATAGTAGTTCAGTGACTCCGAAGGACTTAAATTTGACGAGAAGCCTTTTGTAGAAAATCTTGTTTTATATTTAAATAATTCAGATATTCCACTGAGTGTGTAGATCATGATCTGGATCTCAGAAACTCGTGCTGTGAGGTTGAAATGAGACTATTAGTAAGTTGATGCTGAACAACCGCCTCCCTAATTACTTCTTACACCACTGTAGACACCAGCGAGGTCGTGCGTATGGTCCGGTAGTTTTCAACACTGACTGAAGGTCGTGATTTGATTTTGAGAATACGTGTCGTTTTTCAGTCAGTGGGGCAGTACGCTATAGAGAGTGATATTACAAATAGTTTAAGAAGTATAGCAGACCATCACTTCCAATCTTTAGTATGCTAGCTAGAATGCAATTAATTCCTTCAGTGTTGACGCGTACCAATCTGCTGATTGCCTAGGAAATATATTCCACAATTCAGTTTTCAATTAGGATTTCACAGAAAGATACTGCGGTAAATTCTAATACGTCAAGTGGCTTTACGTTTGCTAGTGAGGTACAGCAGTTTTCACCAAATAGTTCCGTAACAACCTAAAGATCTTTGTGTTCTTGACTGTCCTAATAAATGTGTTTCTTCTAATCGATTTCGGACATTGAAGTTTACTTCGAAGGAATTTGATAAGTGCACAGAAGTCATTATTAAGCTCGATAGTACTATTTCGTGTGAAAATGCTTTTTATAAGAAAAAAAGCCATTAGAGGGTGAAATCAGGTGGCGTGTCTTCAAGGAAGTTTTCATATGTGGAGTGGCACATACAGATCTTTAGAAAACCTAGGTCTATGGTATCCTAAATGTGCAATTTTGTTGAAGATATTACTCGTGTTGTGATAGAATATTTTAGTTCGCGTGTCGGTACACGTCACGTCAAAAGTCCTTCAATCAATGCTTCCTTTAAATTTTGTGAGATTTTTAATCAACCTTTCCATAGTATTCTTGGAGCGTGATAGTTTTACATACGCTGGTTGTAGCTGTTATCGTAAAGACTGAAAATATCACTATCTGGGAACGTTTTGTCAATATAAACAGCGTTGAGGGTAAGGTTACTGGTAGACTAGATATAAGACATTTCGATTTCTGACAGGGCTACGGGAATATCGAGTCGACTGTCCAGACTTAAAGCACTCAATAGATAACTCAAGACTTTTCGGTACCATGATTAAAAAATCAACAAATTTTAGGTATTTTGATGTCCTACAAATAAGCTTGCCTGAGACAAGTAGGGATAAGGATTCCTGAACAGATGGTGTATTTCACTAAAGACTCAAAACTGCAAGCTTCGAATATTACGTAAACAGAACATGGATGGGTTGGAAGTCTCTCATACAAATGTTGCTAAAATACTGCAATTAATCCTATAGTATCTTAACCGATTCACCAGATAAATTAAATGTCGAAAGTAGAAGGCTTTTGATACCATCTAATTTAAGAACATGATTTATAAGTTAGTTTACGTCGAAGATAACACAAGTATTTTAGTTTGACAACACTTTATCAGTAACACCTTCTACAATCGAATCGCGCCCATCCAGTGGAATCAAAAGTCAGAAACAAGGAGGTTGGAAAATATATTTGATTACTTATCAATATATTGAGAAGTAATTGATCTAAACTGTTAAACTATCACAGAAGTTGAGCACGGAGTTCCAACTCTTGATCTGGTACGGATGCATAACCGAGAGCCTTCAGCTAGGTGAGTCTATCAAAAGTAATGTGGTCAACATCCAATGTCGAACACTTACAGAGCCATTGATTTTGAGGATCTATTTACTGCTACGCAGTATAAGAAAGTGAGCCCACAAGAGCTAATAAGTATCAAGTCAGCCCTTATGCAAACACTCGGTGTTAGATAACTAGAGCACTTAATTGTTTTACTACATAAATGAACAGTTACTAATGTGTAACACGGTTACACAGTATCAAATGAATGGTGATGAACTGTTCGGTCAGTTTGTCTTTCCTAACGGAGACTATTACGAAGGTCAGTATGCTATGAGAGAATCAGGAATTGTACGACACGGAAGGGGCAAATTTATTGGAAACTTTAGAAAACGGATGTCAGATGTAACAATATCGAATTCAAATAGCCAATCGTATAAAAGTTTGTCAGACGTCATTCCTGAATTCTTAAACGGAGACAATTTTGACGCTTCAACGTTAAGTGATCTATTTGGAGAAAATTTAATTGATCAAGGATACTACTCGGGAGAATGGGTGAATGATAAAATTGAAGGATTTGGGAAAGTGAAATTCGCATCTGGATCTTATTATGAGGGCGGTTTCAAAGACAATAAGTTAGTTAATTTTTACGACCTTTGAAACTCGGGTACTTACGGCGAAGTTTTTGAAGTGTAAAGATTTATTACATTTTATGCACGAAATGATTGTATAACATGTTTTGTAGGATATCCTCAGTGTCGAGTTTTCAAAGCTAACGATAAGAGAACAAGCGACCTGTGTGTTTTGTGAGAAAAACGGATTAAGACAGTTCACCATCCTTGCTCTTCACTCTTGTTGTATCTGATTCAAAGAAACTTAGCAGCACCGGGGTTTGTTCTCTGTCTGACCCTCGGTTCTCCGGATATCACAGAACTATAGCGTGGTCTCATTGTTTTCTTGGTAATGCCACCATAAACTGTCCGTTCAATATACATTTTAATCCCGAGCCATAATGACCTGGCTCATGTTACTCACGAAATGACTATTAAACATGTCTTGTAGGATATCCCCAGTGTCGAGTTCTCAAAGCTAACGATAAGAGAACAAGCGACCTGTGTTAATCTGAGCAACCTCTAGTACTGCTAAGATATGACCAGTTTAACTTTATCAACAATCGGTGTTGACTCAACATCATCTCGTAAAGAATTCCGACGGTTGACGGTTCAGTCTAAAAGACGAAACTGCGAGTGTAAACTATTTGATCTAGATCTTTAAACTTCCTAGAATAGTCTCTCAGATGAGTTGCAGATGAAAGAAAAAGACAAGGCATATTAACCCAAGAATCGTCGCTCGTTGTATAATAATCCAATTTTAAATCATTTAAAACAAGACAAGGTGGTGTAAATGTGTTGAGGTGTTTCAGTCTATCTTCACAAGATAAAATAGGAAGATCTTGCTGTTACCTGTGTATTTAAGATCACCGGTCACTGTGACTTTTGGATCTTCATAATCTGACCGTAATCAGAAGCACCCTATTTATTGTGTGACGATGTAGTTTATCACAATAACTGATTTGTGTTAGCACACACATACTACAACTTTCTTTCAATGACCACCGATTGATTGTTCTAACCAGTGCACTGGAAATTACGTTTTATCCAGTTTACCTTTATTTTTAATAACCTTCATGCTTTGACGTCAGCCTCATTCCATATGATGAATGGTCTTGCCAATCTGCTTAGATACTTTAACTAAAATAAGAAAGAAGAGGGCCTAGAATGTTTCTTATGGAACTCTACTTATCACACGGTCTCACGACGATTAAGTATAATTTACTGTTATTCATGCACTCCAGTTTTTGGGAGATGTAATTAATTGCGTAACTTTCTACGTTTACTCAAAGACACAGTTGAGGGACTATATATTGTAAGCTTTACTTGGATCAATGTAAATGACAGCTACTGAAATATTTCTACCCTTGTTTGCAGTCCGATACTTCCTTGTAATAAGGAGATTGCTCAGACTCCATATACATTCTCTTAAACCTCGTCTTTTTGATCAGTCAATATTTCTTTCCAAACAATGTAAATTGGCAGCCCGAATAATCTTTTCTTTAGTTGACAAAAAATATTTTTGCGATTTTCCAGTTAGTAGAAGGACTCATTTCTGGTGTGTTGTGACTTATTGTAATTTACCTTTTTAAAGTAAATAAATAACCGAAATAAAATCAACACAGGATTAAATCGTACAAAGGGAACAAAGCAGTATATTTTAAGCATAGCCAAATTTATGCTAGGTTCGAATGGGTCAGTGTCATATCATTTTGTTCAAGGTGATTCTGTAATACATAATGCTGTATTTTTATGTATGGAAAGTTTATGTTTTGTAATATGAGATAGCGGGACTTAACTTGTGTATGCGGATCATATTAAAAAGTAGAAAAACCAAATGTGGTTGATGCATAAACACTCCAAGTTAGATCTTCTTTTTCATCAAAGGAAGGGAAATTTAACATAAAATGAAGCGCTTTGACTGTTCACCTCTCTTTATAGCTAAGAAAAATGTTCCTGAAGTTTTCCATTGCTTTTTAATATTATTACGTAGACCATTGAGAATAGCACGTACTGCTACTGCCGATTTAGTTTGTAAATATTACATATCTACAGGATTATTAAGCCTTTCTGAGTAACTTACGTGTTCCCTGGTAAGAGTCGAGATCTCACAGGAAGACTCTTTAATAAAGAACGCAACCTGGTACGTAGATATAATTTTGCATGGATATAGACAAGAGCTTGTCTTAAATTCTAACTGAAGCGTTTCTTGAAGTATTAATTTTCTCATAGAAAGCTTTAATTTTGCATGTTTTAAGGTCCGTTTTAATTCCTCTGTCAAACCCTGGCAGTAATATAAAACCACAATACTAATCCAAGGTTATTTACGAAAGAACAGTTTTGTTAGAATATGTTATCAATAATATTCTTGAAAAATTACTTAATCGTAGGATGTTTATTATATTCTCTTTTTCTTCTGGTTTATCTTTTTCCAAATTAATGATCCCGGTTGATCTTCTGAAGAGATTCAAGGCTAGGGAAATTCTCTCATTGAATGAATTTGCAGAGTTAAGATCAGTATACCGATTAGAATGTGCCGGTTTTTGCTATATGGTTAGATTTTGACTTTCATCAGAATTCTTTGTAACTAAATAGTCTGAGGATCGTAGTTTGCAAGTTCGTCTTCTTTTTCAAAAGTGAAGTTGATGTCTTCCTAAAACGTGCTTATTATTTGAAGGAATTTCTAAAGAAAGTCTTGTCAATAATGACGAACGCATCATCTATATATCTGAGCCAGATGCGTGATCTGATAGTACTTGCAAAAATAAGCGACCTGATATGAGGTATAAATAAATAAACAACAACCGAAGATAGTGGATATATATATATATATATATATATATATATATATATATATATATATATATATATATATATATATATATATATATATATATAAGGTCCCTTTGAAATGAATGGCATTGAATTCAAACATAGTTTGAAATGCTTCATGATCGAACTAATGTTTAATTTACATCTGATAGATAATTTATTTTTATTTATCTAAACACATATTGGTACAAAAGGGCACCAGATACATATGCGCCACACAAAATAATGAAAATAGGAAGAGAAGGGATGAAAAGATAAGGCGAACTGAAATGTACAACCAGAAGACTCTTTCAGTTAAGAAAGTTAGAACCACTCTTTATTCAGAAAGTAAAAGAAGGTTGCAGCAGGATCGCCACTGGCTTCTATTCTGAACCATATCTGATAACGTCTCTAGCCACTGTGTTGCACCATCTCTCGGACCCCAACCAGGGAGTCGTGAAGGACCAACAGAAGCTAGCCATTTGCAGCTTTCTTTCATGCCATGACACCATGTCATACACTGACCTCCTCTCCGCTTTTTCCAACCAGTCCCAGTGTCGGCAAATAATGCACGACGTCGAAGTCTCTGGGACGACATTCGTAGAACATGTCCAAGTCACCGAAGTCGGTGTTTCAAGATAGTGACACCAATTGAATTATCGTCTCTGCGCCCAAACACACGATGCCGAACCTCTGCATTACTAACATGGTGTTGCCACTGGATGTCAGCAATCCTTCGGAGACAACGATGATCGAATACAGAGAGACGTCTAACAACCTAACAACCTACGAAGAATGACAGAAGCCAATAGTTTGGACGCAATCGGAAGTAGATTTATCCCCCGATAGTTGTTACAAGAACAATGTGAACCCTTTTCAAAGATAGGGACAACTATCGACTCATTCCATGATGTTGGAACACTTTCTAGCTCCCAAATCTTTGCAAATAGCACAGTCAGTTCCTTAGCCAGAAAGTCACCGCCATCTTTAAAAAGAGCCGGAGGTAAGTCATCAGGGTCCGGTGATTTGTAGCGTTTCAACAGTTGGAGTTCCTTGTGGACTTCCGCCTCGTTTGGTGGATCAATCGTCACCGGCCATTGGGGGCAGAACAAGCTGGTTGATGTTGCCGGAGCAGCAGGCCAGTTGAACTGCCCTTCGAAGAATTCCGCCCATCGTCCAAGACGTCGAGAGATGTTAGTGATTGGCATCCCGTCATCCTCGTAGATTGTTTCACTCACACCAGACTTCTTGCTGCCAGTGGCCCGGATGAGTTGGAAGAGCTTTCGGCAGTTACCAGATGCAGCTGCTGCTTCCATCTCATTAGAACGCTCCGACCACCAGGTTTCTCGGTCCTTACGTAAGCTTTGCCCGATTTCATAACGTAACAGTCTTCGTTTGTGGTCATACTCACGGTCACTCGGAGTAGACCGACGGGCTTCCATCAGTTGTAAGGAGCCAGAAGAAACCCAGTGCTTGTAAGCGGGATGTTTCGCGAAGCCGCAAGCGGCTTTACTCACCATTTTCATGGCGTCGTGAAGTTGCATCCAATGCTCATCTATACTTTTCGGTGGGATGGTAGCTAGCCTAGAGGCTAGCTCCGCTCGATACTTACTTGCAACTGATGTTGCAGCCAGTTTACTAACATCGATCCGTTGGTGGTGGTCAATCCTTCGGCCACTGAAAAGTAAGGTAAGATTGGCTCAGACCAGGGCATGATCAGACTCCAGATAGGTAGTCCAAAATGAGCGACAGTCTTGTACACGACCACGCCAGTGGTAGCTGATCGCGAGGTGATCAATCTGAGCCCAGGCTTGAGATGCAGAGGGAGGACGCCAGGTGGCACACCGGCGATGACTGTGCTGGAAGTTAGTGCTAGCCAGAAACAGGCTGTGGTCTGTGCACAGTTGCAGCGAACGGTCCCCGTTATCTGTCCTGCGACCAACAAGTCCCCATCGGCCACCTGAACGACTCTCTTCTGTGCATAGACGCCCGACCTGTGCATTCAAGTCTCCGGCTGATACTACAATATCTGTCGAACGCGCTTTCTGGAGTAGAACTGTTAACTGGTGGTAAAACTCATCGTTGATTGCATCCGGGCTGCAATCTGTCGGGGCATAGGCGGAGATGACGTAAAGACACCGTTTCTCACGCCGGTTTCTTCTCACTTTGATGGAACTTTCTAATCTAACAGCACATAACCGACTGTTAATGGG